CCAGGACACAGGTAAGGAGGCTCCTGTGCCCCTCCCTCTCCAGCTCCATGGGGATCCAAACCTGGAATGGCAGTGCTGCTCATGGGAATGTTGGGCTCTGGAATGTCCTGGGATCCCCCCGGGATTCCCGGGGGCAGCAGCTCCTTAGGGATTAATGAAGCTGCTTTGTTTTCCCAGCTTGGACAATCCTGGCACCGGCATGGATGGTCTGGGAGGATTCCTGGGAAAGGGTGGGATGTGGGAGAACCTGCTCAGTGCCGTGGGATTGAGGGAAACAGGGAATTCCTGGGCTGTCCCCGTGTCCTGTCCCCATCCCAGGCCCTGCAGTGGCTGCTCCCATCTCCTCTCCATTGCTGCTGGATCCTTTCCCTTAGGGAACTGTAATCCAAGCTTTTCTCCTTCCCAAAGCCCCCCTGCAGGAATCCCAGCAGGAATCCCAGCAGGAATCCCGGCAGGAATCCCAGCAAACCCTCCACTGGGAGCTTAAAACAAGTCCCTGTTTTAGGAAAAGCAGCCTCTGAGATCCCCTCGTGCTCCAGCCACCCCTGGGTGCTGGAATGGGAGCAATCCCTGGAAATCCAGCAGTGGGTGAGGCCTTTACCCCATTTATCGGATCCCTGGGTGTTTATTCCGTGGTTTTCCCGGTGGGAGCAGCTCCAGGCTGTGGGTGGAGGGTCCCCCAAGGATGCTGAACACTCCCCTTCTCCAGGCTGACAATCCCAGTGCCCTCAGACATTCCTTGGATGGCCCTTCCAGACCCTTTCCAGCCCTCGGGGAACCGACAGCTCCTTCCCAAGTTGGAAAACTTGGCATTCCTTGGAGCCCCGTGTCCCAGGAAGATGCTGGAGAGCCCTGGGATGATGCTGGAGCCCCCTGGAACCCCCCCAGTGCCTGGTGCCAGCCTGGTGTCCCCCCATTCCCGGGAATTCTCTGTTCCCAGCCCGTGAGCTGGTTGCTCCCCCCCCACAGGGTGTGTTTATCCAGCTGTATCCTGGACAGCTTTTCCAGGAGAATCCTGGGAGAGGCAGTACCACAGACTGCACCTGCTGGCTCTCCTGGACCAGCCAGGGGGGTTTCCCTGTCCCAGAAGGAAATCAGTGGGATAAGCAGGAATTTCCCCTCCCCACCCTGTGCTGGCTCTTGTTCTTCCAGGTGCTTTCCAATACTTCCTGGAATAATCTTTTCCATGATTTTACCAGGCCTGGATTTTCCAGGCTCCTCCTCCTTGCCCTTCCTGAAATTCCCCACCTTCCAGCCAGCTGGGACCTCTCCAGATTCCCAAAAATCACGGAGAGAGGGATTTGCTTTCCTCCCTCAGAGGAAAGCTCTGGAGTTTTCCGGAGCAAGGAAGGAGCCTCAGGAAGCTGCTGGCTCACAGATATCCAGGCTTGGATGGTCCTGGGAACGGTGGGAGATGCTCCTGGAAGGGCAGAACCAGCACAGGGATGAGGGGGATGCTCCAGGAAAAAGGTCCTGGCAGGACTGGGAAGGCAAAGGTGGATGTTCAGGATGGAAGGATCCCAAACCAGGAACCCTTCCCAGAGCTGCCAGGAGGGGCTGGATCCAGCTCCTGAGCCAGGAGCAGCAGGATCTGCAGCCAGGGAGGCTGGGAAAGGGGTTGGAACAACATCATGAACGTTGGGAAGGACCTCCAAGGTCCAAAATCTCCAAATCCCCAGGGACAGAGCCAAGGACTCTGTTGCTCCAAAGCACCCAGGGAAGCCTCAGCTTCGATTCCCCTGAGCCTTGGAGGGGAAAAAAAAGCAGGAAGTGAAGGTGGAGAAGGAGGAAAACCCCTGCCCAGGCCCAGGGGAAGGTGAGTTTTTTGGGCTGGTGAGTTTTTCGGGATGGCAGCGACGGCAGCAGGCAGGGCCTCGGGATCGACGCCGCTCC